TAATAAAAGATATCACATCTACTCAAAGAACCTTGTCTGTATTGGACAAGTAACTCAACATGAACTCAGTCTCTCACTGTCCAAAAGCGTTAATATGAAGCTTTTGAAAAGATTTACAAGAACCCTCTGAGTTACTAACACTTTGCTAACCATTATTTTCTAATGTGCTTAGGAAGTAATGTGTAGTTAGCCAGTATTACAATAATAAGAATAAAGTTTGCTTAGCTGGAGTCGCAGCCATTGTAGCTGAGTTCAGGTTAATCTCTCCAACTCAGATTTGCAAGACAGCTACTTTGAGCTGTCCCTTCTTTCACCTAATGTTATTACCTTGACACAGCAGCCTCTAAAGATCTAAGGCAAGATTGCTGGAGGCATTACAACAGATTATTTCCTAAGTGAATTTCCAGTTCCTATGTCACCTTTCTAGCAAGATATATCTTTGTTTTTTCTTTTTTGTGCTGCAATATTCAGAGAGTAGTTGATATAAAGGAGACTAAATATCTTGGCTGGACTCAGTTTGTTCTTCCAGTCATTTTGTAGATAAAATACATATTGTCTTTCTGTGATTTTTTTTTTTTTTTCTTTGCCTCATTTGTGTTTTTCTTGTCATGAAAAGGAACTTGAATATTACACATGCATGCATGCACATGCACCCTATGCCCCATTACTTGATGTGATTTCACCAGTGACAGAAGGTTAAATAAAAGTGTCTCCTTTTGTACTCTGATATTCTTCCTTCCCTATCTTATTTCATCAGAGTTGACTGGGAATATTTGTATTCTTTATTCAGCATTTACGGTTTCTTGATTGTTCATCATTATTTACTTCAGTTTACAGGTTTTTTGTTCTTTTCCTGCTTGGATTTCACAAAATCCTTTTAAAAGGGATTCTTGCCTCTCTAGTTAGGGAAATACACTTCTGATTTCATCGGGACCTTTGAGTTGAAAACAACTTCATTTTTGGAAGCAAATAATGTATAGTCATGTTAATAGATGTTATGTGGGATGTAATGCTTAGACAGAGGTCTGTAATGTTGCATAGGATCTGGTCTGAGGAAGGGAGAGAAGGGTCTGTTTTTGTTGGAGTTTCAAGGTCAGTGCTGCTTTTTGCTGTTGTAAGTCACTGATGCATTACAACTTTCCCTTTTCATTGTACTTCTGCTCTGAATTCCGTATGAGATTTTCATCATAGCTACTGTTCTGTTGGCTCAGAAAAATTTGATTTCCAGTCTGGAAAGGAGAGTTCTGGAGAAGAATTATAACCCAGACTTCTTGTCTTTAAGTTTCTGGGCCTGACCCAACTTTATTTTAAATTCCCTTCTGCCCACTTACCCTGTCTCACAAGGATGATGACATGTTGTTTTGGGTTACATTTTTTTGAATTCTGTGAAGGCTGTCAGGCATCACTTTTTTTTTTGTCCCCTTCCATAACTGCCATATTGTTTTTAATTCTTGTAATGCCTTGTCTATATTTCTAAATAAAAATAAGAAACAACCTAGTATGCAGTGTGAGTTTTAGAACTTTTGGTCCTGGAGCTGGTTTCGTTCGAAGCTGTCTTATTGCTAAATAACAAAATCAGTACATGGTGTCCACCTTGAGGACAGTAAGTTTCAGCTTGGGATCACTCTTTCTGCTCGTTCAGGAGTTACAAAGAGTGATTTGTTCTGTAACAATATACCAATGCCAGTCATGTAACAGAAGATGGTGCTAAGTGGAACTAAATTTGTCACACAGTAAAATTCTCATCAGAAGTCAAGGACAGTAACTACATCAGCAAAACCACTCAATAGAGCCATTAATTGAACATCAGTTATAGGTCACAAAGTTTTACGATCAAAATAATCAAATTTACATTGGTAGCTTTTGATTTTTTTCGGGGCAAGTATGTGTCTGCTAAATGGTCTTTAGAATATGATACGATAGATCATTTTAGCATCTGGTTTTGCCAAGGTTCTTATCCCAGATTTCAACATTTCATTTCCATAACTTATTTGAAATATTTACAAGGATGTTACCTTAGTTCAGCAGCATTTTATGTAGCTTATATTTAATCTTAAAATTAAGTTACTTTAGATGTGGATACATTTCAGCTTTGCTCATTCTTTAAAATAACATGAAGATATGCCAAGACAATATTCCTCTTCAGCAGTAAATGAAAATGTCATTTAAATGCCCTTCAAGTGTACAGTATAACTTCTGAATGTATGATCCAGCTCCTAAATATAAATATTTGCTGGTATTAGGGACTTCTGAATTGTTTGTTCATTGCAAAATGATAGCTAGCAAACAAAGACATATCTCTTTAAAATTTAACTGAGGTTAGCGAAAATGTTGTTTCTCTCCTCTTAAACCATGGAAGGTGGTCCCAGTTAAAGGTAATTCTCTCTGCTCTGGGATACTTTTCTGGTATGGTTGAAATATTAACGACAAGAATGCTAACAAGATTCGACAGCAGTTCCTTGTTCTCTAACTCATAGATATGTACCATTTCTTTACTTTACCCAAACAAAAGAAAAACACTTTCTGTGGCTGTTTTTGCTTGTTATTTTTCCTTATATCCATTTGGCCCTTTCCAGGGTGCACTTGATTTAAATCAAATTGATTTGAATCGTGATTAAAGTCAATGGTTAGGAAGCCTTGATTTAATCAGTGTTTCCTACAAAAACTGCATTCTTGTTGTTTGATAGAACCTTCATTAAAATATTCCTAAACAAGGTCTCTTTTATGGCCTGGCAAGCCTGCTGCTATGATAAGTTTTCTCTTCTACCATACTATTCCCTCACTAGATCTCAAATTAATGAAGTGACGAGGCTATACTCAGAAACTTGCCCTCAAGACTTCTAAAATATTCTCCTTAAAATGTTTCTACTGCCCCTCCTTGCTTGCATTTATCTCCAGACTCATCTTCCTCCTCCTTCTCCTTGCCCAGATCTACTCCATCCTCACCTATCCTCTTACTCATTTCACTTCTTGAAACTTTGCACTTTTAGAGAGAGGTAAGGGC